AAATGTACCAGGTTTATATATAGGCTATATATAAAGTTGTTAAGCAGTTAAATGCGTTGGTTTACACACAAAGAAAAGTGTAAGCTTTTAATAAGTCCAAGAATAAAATGATTAATTTACTTAGCATGTTAAATTTGATTTACAGAACTTTTGTGCTGTTTTCTAACAGTTTGGACTTGAATAAAGAGAGAACTTGCACGTAACCTTTTCACAGGCATTTAGTTTTCATAGTTAGACAGATATCGTGATGTATCGTTATAGGATTGTCTAGCAATATATCGATTATCGCCAAACCGCGGTATCGTGATATTATCATACCGTGAGCCATGTATCATGATTCGTATCGTATCGTGAGGTACCCTGCGATTCCCAACCCTAATAATAACCCTGGTGTCAAATGGTATATGTTTGTATATAATAGCACCGCAGAGGCTTTGGATGGTGACGTGTTTGTGGATGAAGAAGGTAGTGATGGTGAGGAGGATGAGGAGTTCTACCCCGACGACTGCCAGTGGGAACAGGCGGAAGAGCCAGTTAAACCTGGACCAACAGCTGTCATAACGGAAAAGGTGGCATTAATGATTAATTTACATAGAACTTTCTCATTGCTTTTATGGGAGTTCTTTCAATGAAACTTGCTGACATCCTCTCTTTGCCTTATTAGGTGAATAAAGAGACAAGTGTGGATGGTCTCCTGCATTCTGCTTCTGTAGTTCGGCCCAAGGAGCGGCGACATGATGTCCATCAGCGAAACCCTTTTATGCGAGGAAACACCATCATCCGGTCCAAGACATTTTCCCCTGGACCTCAGAGCCAGTATATCTGCAGGGTAAGAACACAGTTACACATACACAAATATATGTACATATTGATTCTAGTATTAGAGCTCACTATTCCTGTAAGATTTTTACCAATGCCCACACTTACCAAATTACCAGATCAACCGCAGCGACAGTGACAGCTCCACCCTGTCTAAGAAATCTCCCTTCGTCCGGAACGCCTCAGAGAGACGCAGTGTTCGAATGAAGAAGGTAACATAAACATATTATATATTGACATCTACTCATTTAGTTTAATGCTTTCTGGCTTCTGCTAATCTTATGAGAACTCATTCTAAACTCGATAAACACGCTTCAACCATCCACCATGAAAAAAAAATGTTTGGGAGCTCAAATACAATATGAAAATGTCTGGGACCCCAAGCATAAAAACTGTGTAGTTAAAGGCAGAGTAAGTGATTTTTCAAAAACACTTTAGAAAACTGATTCGGGCCAAATCGCAAAACAAACTTGTAGCCAATCAGCAATAAGGGGCGTGTCTACTCGTGATGTGGAGGAGGGCGCGTTCAGTGCATGGAACACATTAGCCGAGCCGAGCGACAGAAAGATAGAGATGGCGGATAAATATCGGATCAGCTTTCCAGCGCTGGAGAGAACTCAAGGAGCGGAGGCCTGCGATCGGACGCCGAGGTTGCTTTGTTTCTTCTCAATAGGTGAGTAACACCGTGTCTACAACAGCTAAAGTCTGCCTACACTGGACGCGATCAAACGACCGTTGAAAACCATTTGAAATTTGTGTCAGCACGTCATAAATAGAACCCGGCAGCAGTTTTCTGTCGGGATTTGTTGCGCCGCGCCGCTCACGTCCGATGTAGACACGGTGTAACATTGGTTTTGCTTTGTTTCACAGAACTAATCGTTGCCTGGGTTGCGTACGTATATGTGGGGCGGAGCTATCAAAATAGGGGCAAGACCCTTTTGGGGTAGGGGCGTGTTTGTTTTGGTGATTTCAAATATCAACATTGGCTACCAGAAATCCCTTACTCTGCCTTTAATCTCAACTGCACATCAGGGTTAGAATCAAATTCCACTCAGGGATCCACTGGGTTTTTCTTAGGAAACTGAATGCTTTTCACCAACACTAAAGCCAAGCGTTTTCATTAGAAAAGGGAGTTTAAGCTTTTTAGCTGGAGTTTAATATTTAATACCTTCATTTCTGTACTGACCTGAGGTCAGTGTTAATGAAGCACAGTCTCAGAGTGAGGAAATGGGTTTGCTTGAGCCCCTTTACAGGCCCTTAAATAGTCTAGAAAGGTCAGGTTTGCTCTCACTGTGCCTTAGGAGACACATTACATTGAGTCTTTTAAAGACACTAAGATGTTGAAAGTTTGAATGGATTTGCTTAATGAGGACTACAGAGAGCTTCAATGATTTATAGTACGGGCTTTAAAGTCTCCTAAGTTCTTTAAAAATGAAGATCACATATCCCAGTCTACAAAGGTGAGGTAAATGGTGTAGTGGTTAAAGATGTAGGCTACTAACTAAGCTTGGATGAATATAGTTTAAAAATAAAAATAATAATAGTAAGCATGTAAGCAAGCATGAAACTAAAGCATGATGAGTTAACTAGGCCGGTTAGTGGACTACATAGCTTGCTAACAGCCTTTCATGTCCATTTTGTTAATGTCACACACAAACAAGACACAGTAGTGCAAATGTTTGTAAAATGAAATAGAAACTGCACCTAGCTCTACAAACTCTTAATGTTTTTGTGCTGTGTTTTGTTGTGTTGTTTTTTTTAGTGATTGATTCATTAATTGTTTTGTTGTGGTTTTTGTGTTTTGTTTTGGTTTGGTTTTCAATTATAAGAGCCATCATTTTAATCAAATGGCTATTGTTGCCAAGCAGTTTCAGATTCTTTGTTTTCAACATTGTTTTTTTTCGCTAAATGAACACACAGAAGAATGATACTGAATACTTTTAATTTATATGTGCCAATATAACAATACCAATACAGTGGTCAGTGAATGTCACCCCTTTGTTCTCTCTATCACACACAGCCGCAGATGCAGGTCAAAGGTCTGGACGGGCTCCTACGCACCTCTCTGGATCTGGAGCTGGACTTGCAGGTCACTCGCACACGGCACAGCCGACTGCACGAGGAACTGCGTGTGCTGCGGGAGCTAAAGGAGCAGTTAGAGAGCACCCGGCATCAGGGCCAGCATGTCCTTCCCACATGGGTACAGGAGGACGAGCGCTTCCGTCTGCTGCTCAAACATACAGAGAGACAGGTGAGCCCCAGCAGATTTCCAGAAATAACAAATCCACAAATGGCGTGTTTTTGGGCCATCTTAAACAACCTACAGCATCTGAATTTGTGTTGCCACTCTCTCCTTAGACCCAGGAAGAGCAGCTACAGGAACAGAGGGTAGAGAAGATGATGCGAGCAGCAGCTAAGGATGTGCACAAGATTCGTGGACAGAGCCTTAAAGAGGTTCCTGGGGTCCAGTCCTTTAGGTGGGCATCTGTTGCTACCTATCCAAAACACTGTTTCTGAACTGATCCTATGCATTATCTTAAGCTTAGGTTATTGTTGGAAAATATAGCTCAGTTCCTAAATCTACTGAGCTGCAATGCTGTCTAATGGCCACGTAGGCAGCTACCTTCTTGTCAGCATCATAAAGTCAAATGGAAGCTCTTAAATGACTTATTTGGAGCACTCTACATAGGCAGCAACTGCATGTATTGCTCAGATAGTCCTCTTCAGAAGTCTAGAATCAACAATTGACTCCAATAGAGTTTGAAGTTGCTAATGACGCTATACTGTAATGGACCCTTGTCACAGACTGTGATAATGCGTTTCCACAGTTATTCACAGTGTAAATGTAGCAAAAAAATTTTTTAAATTAATGTACATTTATAACGCTGTCTTTAACAACATATACTTTGTGTCATATTACCTTGGAATTCAATTACAGAAAACTAGGTAATGCTGCTGCATGTGTGTTTCTAATTAAATGGCAAATTTATTTCCATTTACCACCGTAGAAATTTCCCCAGCTACGACAACTTTGGCTTCCAAGAACCCCAGAAATGTGAAAAGGGTCCATTAGCATAAAAACACATGACATGCACAAATATTGGGCTGAAATAATACATTTTCAACGACATTGATCTTTTTTTTTTATTATTTATTATTTAATTCATAGGATTGCCTTGTATATCTACCTTATTTTGCAATGCAAAGGTTTTCTGTGAATGTGTGAGACTTCTGATTCGTCAGCTTCTATAGGTAAATGACTAGAAGAATAACAAAGTGCAGTAAATGATAAAACTATTTACGCTACCAATCAGTGTTTGTAAATTTGACAATACATTAAAATAATATGGTAAATAATACCAGTTTGCTGTATAAAGCAGCATAATGAGCTTTGTACAGCTAAAAATAACTGGAAGCGAATAACACTGAAAGCCCTGCACATTCAAGTTACAAAATTAATAGCCATCACATCTGGAGTGCATCTTTAAAATTCTTTCTGGGTAGGCAGCTCACTATGATTTGGAACAGAGCTAATAAGTAATAACCCTTCCATTGTTTTATATCTGACATCATTCAGTTTCAAGCTATACTTATTGTCTGCTGTAATCTCTCATAGAGAGAAGATGGCCTTCTTCACCAGAGCAAAGATAAACATTCCTGACCTACCAGCTGACGACGTGTAGCAGATATCCATCTCAACTGCTGTTTCCATGGAGACAAAACTGACATCTGGCTGTATTATGAAGAATGGTGTGACGGGAAAATATATGTTGGGCAGGAAAAATGTCATTTTAAAACACTGGGTTTTAACTCTCAACTGAAATTGTATAGATCCGTGTTTTTTGTTTGTTTGTTTTTTTAGATAGATTTATTTTTTAATTTCACCATGTTCTGTTACTAATAAGAGTATGTCGGTATCTGTACTAGGTATTTTACTGGTCATTCAAAAACACCAGTTCGTCTTTGAAACGAGTGTGAAACATGCTGCTCTGCTAATAGGGCAGGACTGCTTACTGTAACTCTTGAAGATGTGAATACAAATACTTACGGTACTGCTTTTCATAGCACAAGGGTTCAGGACAAAATGAGCGGGCGTAAATCCTGCTATTCCAGTCACTTCCCTCTAAAACAAGCACATCTGTCCACATTCATATTCAACGTATATATATTTTATTTTTATTTTTTTTTGCAAATTTGTAAACGGTTACAGATGTTAGCAAGCATGAATCTAAAGCATGAGTTAACTGGACCGGTTAGTAGACTAAATTGATTGCTAACAGTTCTCCATGTTCGTTTTGTTAATTGCATATGCAAACAAAACACACGTTAGTGCAAATGATCGTAAAATGATGTAGAAACTGCACTTAGTTCCACAGACTCTCAGGTAGAATATCAGATAGTTCAAGCACTTTAATAGAAAAGGCATCAATATAGAGAATAAAGCAAAAAAGCACATTGTGAAAGCTAAGATCGTACTATCCCATATACTAGCTCTTGTTGCGTCTTTGGAAAACTTTAAGCGTCTTGTTAGGCTTTAACTTCCCATTCTAGTTCCTACAGTGGCATGTTCTAATAGTGTTTCATTTCTACTGGTTTGGATCTCTTCTAATCTAAAAACACCCCTCACAACCGTCTACAGGTTAGCTCCAGACTACAAACTCAGCTTTGTGTGTGACTAATAACCTACTGTAATAGTAGCATAATTTCCTTTACGTCAAAGCCAATATCTTAACATTTCTCAAGCTTATTGTAATTGCTACCTACCAGTACTAGAGGAGTCTTTGGTGTGTTGAATCTCAAAAAACGTAACATATTTCACCCCATAAACAGCATAAAAATAGGAAATTATATTTTGCATAGGATTTGCATAAAATGATTTGTAATGTAAGATTATTTATGATGACAATTAAGCACATTTTCCCTAAATTCGTAATACTATAATGTGAAGGAAAAACTCATTGCTTTTAGGCAGTCAAATGCATTACTGTAATGAGAATAATTTTTTCTCTAATTACTGTGACTATTTTTTGTAATTAAGAAAAGAGCTAAATTAAATACCATCATAATACTATCATAATGTATAGCAAATTTGATCTTTGTTTTTTTACAGTAATCAGAAAAATGCCTTTCGGTTGACTAGTACCTGAAAATAATTAAATCAAAATCCAAAATCCTTAATGGCCATTAAAAGGTGTCATGTTTGTAATTTCTTATTTTTCATCTTTTGAATTTGGAGAAAAATAAGACCTGGACAGTTTTTGTGAGTTTGACCCATTTATGAAGAGCAGTGTTGAAATTTGGAAACGTATAATTGTTGCGGCAAGAAAACCTCAACACATCCAAGGCACTGAAAGCTGTGAAGGCACGCAGTTGATAATTCCCAGCTCTCCCTGTAAACACTTAATAATGTATCGCACGCCACTGCAGAGATCTGTTTGTGCAACATTTGGAGACTCCTCAGACGGAGGGAGTCACTAGTGATTTGCATTATGTAAATGAGCACTCCCTCTATGCTAATCTAATATTGATTTTCACTAAACTCTTCATCTACATACAAAAAAAATTGGATTTAACTGAACACTTTGCATGTATCTTGATAATAGATGACTATGAATGTTACTACCATGTCATTAAAACCCCTTTTGAACAATAGCTTTGCATCACAGACCAAGATGTTAGTTTGAATGTAGCACTTTAAAAAAGCCCCAGTTGATGCAACCCTTTATTTGATGCTGATTTACCTTGTTTGTACATAATGTTGGCCTAATTTAACCAGTTATGAATGCTATTACCAGCCCAGTTTCATGGATTTTGCTCACATTTAAATGTTACGTCAAATCTCCAGTTGATCTCCAACTTACTTGGCTAAGGTGTCGTTTGTGCTCTCGACATCTTTGTTTTGCGTTCACTCAGCTCCCCTGTTGGTACGCCTTCCCATGTACAATTATATTCTTAAAGAGATCCTCCTGTGCTTTATTATGTCTTTGTTCCTCAAGGAAATATTGAATGTACTGTCCTTGGCTCAACCTCAGATCAACTAATATGTCATTGGAATAGCGTTATTTCTACAATCATTATGTTGCGTAGTTGTACCCTTATGACTAACCGGGCTATGATATGCTCCAAAATGATACCACAATGTCTGAAACTATAGTGTGAAGTCTGGAAAGGATGGTCCAGAAGCCCTCCTTCATCTGCAGTGCACAAATGCATATGGTCTAGTCTCTTGCTCTACCTAGTGGCATACAGACGGAACTGAACTTGTACTAGCACTCTTGTTATGAAACCCTAATTTCTTCTCCAGTGTAATTTTGGCTAAAATTGGTTTAGGAGATGGAGATTGCACATTTCTTTTGATGGCGGCACATTATAAACAAAATCTTAAGACCCCACAGAAATGCTGTCCCAAAGCTTTTAGCCAAATATCTAATATCTAGAAGCATCATATAGATTTCACTTTGAAGCCATTGTACTCGGTGGTTTAACTTAGTTTATGGGAGTACAAACATTTCCTTTTTTTCCATTTCTCTTCTTTAATGTATTATTTTCATAGATTAGACCCGGTTAAGACAGTACACTGCCAAACATAGACTACATCCCAGCTCAGTTAAGCTGCTGTGTGATGTGCATTTTTCTCACATTGGCATTTTTAATTAAGATTTACAGTTTTTACAAATTTACGGTTATTTGAATGTGAGCGAAACAATAGGTCCCCTTTAAATTTGTACCGTTTACTTGGATGCACTACAGTTTATCTCATTTTGAGAGTACTCGAACAATAGAAAATGTCTTATGTTTTCACTGGTCGTACAGTATCTACCGTTCACAGTATGTGTTGGAGAGAGTTGTCTTGATTGATTAGGTGCTCTTCAACTATCAGTTCTGTGGTTCATAAGGACACAATATTTGCATTTTTTATTTGGACGCTTGGTCCAATCATGCATAAATCATGTAATACTTGCTCAAAATAATCACAAGGAAACAAAAAAAAATGCTGTCAGTATCTGATGCTGGTAGTCATGAATGATTTGTTTATTGTTCACAGTAGGACTTTTATAAACTCCAGTGCATTTAATATTGTTTTTTTTTGTTTTTTTTATCTTGTATCGATGGAAAAAGAACCTGATCTGGTCACAGAGATGGTTTGAGAAGTACAGCTTGTATTTATTGCACTTTTGCGATTTGGGTGTGCTGTCTTTCTTTTTCTTGTGAGACGTCTGAAAGCTGTGAATTTTATCATCGACGCTGTACTGTCAACCAGAATTGTAAATATATCACCAGCACAATAGTATGTTTTGTAGTTTCACAACAAATATTAAAAAAATTCTTTCTTCTAATCTTTATAATGTTTTGTGTGTTTGTATGTGTACAGTCACATTCCTAATAATAGATTTACCTGTACTGAAATGTTTGAAGCCAATAAGATTTTCTTCTCATTCCAACTATTATGTGCAGTTACTTATAGTCCAATATCAAAAATGGGCAAAATATGGGGCATTTTCAGCAAATGATTCCATTTATGCTTTAAAATGCATACAGTATTAGATTCAAATTCTATGCCTGAATCCTGGTCATTGGCGGTTATTAGCCTGCTTCTGAAAAAAGACAAAGACCCAGCGAGTTGTTCTTCTTATTGCCCAATTAGCTTAAACAATGTGGATTATAAAATTATAGCTAAATCTCTGAGTTCTATACATTGCTGTCCAATGTTGGTCCTTCAACTTTTGACTCTTTGAGGGTGATATGGGAAAAGGACTTAGGATCAAATTTTAGTGATGAGGAGTGGTTATCTGTTCGTACATGCGTTTTCCCCAAAGGTGTTTCAATTTCGGCCCGTGAACAAAATTATAAGTTTACTCACAGGACTTATTTAACCCCAGTCTGCCTTCATAAAAAAATCCCCAATTTTTCTCAATTATGTTTCTAGTGCGGGACAGACATTGGCACAGTGATGCATGTGTTTTGGGATTGTGATCAAATCAAAGAATACTGGGAACCGAGATTCACAAGATTATTGGAAAGACTTTTGCATTGTCTTCAAATGTGTATCTTCTGAACTGTAAAGCTGGCGTGTGCCTTGAGTGTGAAAAAGTAAATGTACTGAAATTTTGTATATATTTAGTGAAAAAATATATTTTATTGCTATGGTCAACTCCTCGGATACTTACGATCTGCATCAAAGATCAGGTTTTTTTTCTGGCGCACTTGGTCTTCTCTGTGGATCTTGAAGATGCTCAGTCAAGTCAAGTCACCTTTATTTGTATAGCGCTTTATACAATACTGATTGTGTCAAAGCAGCTGTACAGTGTCAAACAGGAAAATAGTTTGTCAATAATACAAGACAATAACAAAGAGTCATTTTTCCAGCTAAAGTCAGTTCATTGATGATTCAGGATGTCATCATCCAGCTCTCTTCCAATAGTGTCTGTGTAATCAGTCAAGCGTCCCCAACTAAGCAAGCCAAAGGCGAGAATGGCAAGGAACCAAAACTACATCAGTGAAAAAAATGGAGAAACCAGGCTCAGTCGGGGGGCCAGTTCTCCTCTGGCAAGACAAAACCAGCATGGCATGGTTTAATTCCAGGCTGCACACAGGTGCAGAGGACTTGTCTGGTTCCCGAGGTCTTGTGCTGATGGTCGTCGAGGTGATGAGGTCTTCGCAGGGGATCTGTCTCTTGGGCGCATCTAGATGACAAACTCAGTAACTAATATCCTCTCAGTTCCTTGGTCTATAAATATTAAATATAAACTGTATATATATATGTTTTTTTTTTTTTTTTTACTGCATTTTATGTTTGAACATGTATATTTAAAGATTGTAAACTTATATTTGGCTGTAAAAATTCCATACAGTTCACAGATGGTACTGTTTTTCAAACTTGCTTATAGATGCATGGCAAACACTCACACAACCTCTTGCCCGTTACATTCAAGTTAAAAAATTAAATTTAAACGGTCTGTCTGCCTGCCGGCCTGTCTGTCTATCTATCTATCTATCTATCTATCTATAAAATATATTAAGTAATTAAATGACACTAGCCTGTGCTTTTTTATTTCTTGTTTTAGTATTATTATTTATTTATTTATTTATTTTATTTTTTTTACATATTGCTCTGCCAATGATTGAATGATAGGCTTTAGTTTTGGCGGCTGTTTTCCCACAATCCCGCAGGACCGGAAGCAGCGCGCTGTGTGTGTTTAGAGTCGCTGCTAGCTGTCCAGCTGCACAGCGGCTTTACACCTACATCTAACAACTATACTCCTGCCAGGTAACTAGTCATTCTGAAACTTTGCATTTTGCAATATGATATTTGTTTAGATAGCGTTTCATAGTCTCGCTGTAATGCAAATGTTGTCTGTTCATGTGTTTGGCGACAGCAGACAAACAGATGCTAACATTTTAAGCTAATATCATTCCCATCCAACAAAACTATGGTTAATTTTCTTTTATATCACATGACCGGCTTATGAACAGTTAATATGTTTAATCAAATAAGTTAATTACCGTTTATATTGGAAATTCATTGGAAGATACTTAGGTAGTCAGTTGTTTGAGTTGTGAATATTAACCTTAAGTGAGTTAATATTCATTAACTTTTAGTTAATATTTGGGTCTGGAAGCGTTGTGCATGTTAATATTAAATTAATATTCAGCAGTGTTTCATTAATATTCACCTGCTTTTGTCGTATTTCCACTATGAAGGTGAATTAAATATTTTTCCCTAATAGACTCAAATTGAAGATTCGATTTGCTTGGGTAGTCGTTTGGTGGAGTTTGCAAACATTGTCTATGTTATTAATATTCACCAGTCTTTCGTTAAAATGTATGTTCTTTCTAATATTTCCATGCTTACAAGAGTTAAATCAGAATAAAAGCCACGGTAGTTGATTCAAACCTCATTAACCTAATTGCTCTTCCTGGCAGAGTTTCTTTTGCCTGTGAGAGCTTCAGGATCGCTGGGATACTTGATCAGGTCCTCAGCCTTCATCATCATCATCATGCCAGCCGCACTTGCAGATACCAGTCAGATTATCTGTGAGGTCTGGGCCAGCAATGTGGATGAGGAGATGAGGAAGATCCGACAGATCATTCAAAATTACAACTACATTGCCATGGTGTGTGTGCACCTGTGTTGATGTTCCATTATGGTCTGCTATGGTCTAATAACATAAATGTCCTATAATAATTTAAAAATTCTTATTTAAACAGCGTTATGGGTCAAATAGCTAATTTTTGTTCATCTACTCTGCCGGTCAAAGGTTTAGAATAATTAAAGTTTTTTAAATATTTTTTGAAAGAAGTCTCTTATGCTCACCAAAGCTGCATTTATTAATCAAAAATACAGTAAAGAGAGTAATGGTGTGAAATATGTAAAGCAACTGTTTTCTGTTTGAATATGATTTTAAATGTAATTTATTCCTGTGATGGCAAAGCTGAGTTTTCAGCAGCCATTACTGCAGACTTCAGTGTCACATGATCTTTCAAAAATCATTTTAATAAGATGATTTAACACTGAAACATTTTTAAAATATTTAAGCAGCAAAGTTTTTGTGGAAACCATGATACTTTTTTTTTTTTTTTGGATGAATAGAAAGATCGGAAGAGCATTTATTAGGAATGTCTTTTGTGACATTATAAATGCCTTTACTGTCACTTTTGATCAGTTTAATGTGTCCTTAAAGAATAAAAGTTTTTTTCTTTTTCTTTTTTTTAAACTTACCCCAGATCAGCATGAATGTTTTTTAAAGGATCATGTGACACTGAAGTAATGGCTGCTGAAATTTTTTGCCATCACAGGAATAAATTACTTTTAAAATCCATTAAAATAGAAAACAATTCTTTTAAAGTAATATTTCACAATATTATTGCTTTTAATGTAAATTGTATTAAATACATGCAGCTTTGGTCAGCCTAAAGGCCTTCTTAAAAAATATAAAAAAATCGCAAGTCCCGTATAAGGGATTTAACAAAAATAGTAGCTGCATTTTTGTGCTTTGCACAGTCTGTCGATTTATACTTGATGTTTTTTCTGTACGTCAGGACACTGAGTTTCCCGGTGTGGTGGTTCGTCCCATTGGAGAGTTCCGTAGTACTGTTGACTATCAGTACCAGCTCCTAAGGTGCAATGTGGACCTTTTAAAAATCATCCAGCTGGGCCTGACGTTTATGAATGAAGATGGAGACTACCCGCCTGGAACCACAACATGGCAGTTCAACTTCAAGTTCAATCTGACGTAGGTGTCTAGCATTACTTGCTTATCCTTTGCTTATCCCAGTATTTTTAGATTTAGCCTTAGCCAGTGTAGCGAATCAGCTCATGGGGAAATATGAATAATTAATCATAACTAGTTATAATTAATTATAAATATTTAGATCCGCTGTAGATATTTACTTGACCTCTCAGGGTCAACTGTCTGTCAATTCTAAGAACGTTAATTTCCTGGTTAAGGGAAATAACTTTCTTACTGTACAATTCTACACAGAGCCTGCAGCATAAATCTGCATGATTAGGGACGCCAGTTATGAGTAAACAATGAACAACGTCAAGTGTGATACAAATAAATGACTTTATTAACTACATACGTGGTTGCCATGGGGACCAGGGTCCTGGGCCTCATTCACAGACAACTTGGCACCCAGTATGTTTATTGGGTGAGGGGTCTGTGAATGTTTGTTAATCTAATGAATAATTGATTTGTTAAATCAAATGAAAAATGGTGTGTCTGATTGGTCCAGACGCTACACCAGTAATGATACTAGTAGTAATGGTTGGTGTTGTTTGGGCCTGTGTTTTGCAGAGAGGACATGTACTCCCAGGACTCCATAGACCTCCTCCAGAACTCTGGACTGCAGTTTAAAAAGCATGAGGAGGAGGGCATCGACACACTCTACTTCGCAGAGCTCCTGATGACATCAGGCCTTGTGCTTTGTGAAAATGTCAAGTGGCTCTCGTTTCACAGGTAACATAACTTGACTTGAATGACTTTTTTTTTTGTCCAGATTTATTTATCGGCTTGAATACATCTCTTCTGAGATGGTTTTTAATTTTGTTATTTTTGTACATTTTGTAATTTTTGGGCTAGAGCATAAATAAATAAAAAATCAGGGTGATAAAACTGTCCTGATATCATAATGAAGAAAATAACCTGATTATGAAATTGTTAAAAAGAAAATTTAGTTCGTATTTGACTGTTATTATTTGTTAATAAAAATCCCTTACTGACTGCTTTTTAATATTTAAAAAACTTGTGTCTGCTAAATCGAAGTCATGTGGTGCAACCAACTTGCAGAACAAAACAAAAACATTATATCACAGAGAAGACCCTTGTAGACTCATGGCTATTTTAAGCTTGATGAAGTTTCTTAAAATATTAAGATAATTTTAAAATATTAAGATAATTTTAAAATATTAAGATAATTTTAATGACAAGTCAATTTTAAGGTGTGGTCACATTCAAGAAAATTAGCAAGAAAGTCCATTATCAATAATGTATGATGTATGAAATGCAGCTGACGCAAAAGTCCCTTTTAAAGTAGTAGAGATGTGCCAAAATGATTTTTTTTACAGAAAGAATGAAACTAAAATTAAAGTTTTTATTCAGTCAAATCAAAAATAAAATTAATTAAATTTTTTAATTAAATTTGGACAATTAAACTTGGTATGATTGTAGAGATGCGCCAAAATGATTTATGAATTTTTTTTTACAGAAACTGAAATTAAAGGTTTTTTTTTTTAGTCATCAATTGAAAATAAAATTTACGTCATTAAATTTGGACAATTAAACTCGGTATGATGTTCAGGGTGTCGTGTTCACAGATGATAATCCAATCATAGTAAAGTTATTTGGCAGTGAGTCACCTCTCGATATTTCGGCCAAACAATTTTGGTAAGGGCGTGGCCACTTGAGTGACAGGTGGATTGCCGCTGCTGTCCCCACTGTCGAGATTGGTGGGCGTGGTTTCAGCAACCAGCTCCCACCTCTTTGCCCATTTTCGATTATCCGGGAGTGACGCGCTGCCAAGATGGCGACGTCCGGCTCCGCCCACTTTGAGCTTCAAAAACACTCTTCAGAAACCTATGGGTGACGTCACGGACACTATGTCCATGTTTTTATACAGTCTATGGTCAAAACACGTCGTCGATCATTAAATGTTCAGTGATTTCAGCCCTTCAAACAATTTCCAAAAACGAAATTTTTTTTTTTTTGCAGTTGCAGACTAATATTTTTGGTTGCCAAAATTTTGGTGCATAACTACAAACCAAGCAGCTTTCTGCTGGTCTGTGCAGTGAATTTGCTTGACCAACTTAAACCTGATGTGAAATCTGTGTGGGGAAATCCAAATTGTGTTCCAAATGTATTAATTATAAATGCCAAGTTTAAACCAATTTATTTAAAGGAAAATTGAAACTACCAGTGTGTTGGAAATGCACTATACAAATCAACTTGGGCTTATGTACCTCTCTCATTCGGCGCAAATCCACATGTTTTGACAGTTGCTTTGAAATATAAGTCGGAGCACATTTCAGATAATAAAATAAACATGACTTGTATTCCTAAAAATTTGGTATTTTGAATGGCACATCTAGTGTGTTCTAAAGGTTTTTATGCACTTTCTGTTCTCACTAGTGGGTATGATTTTGGTTACCTGGTGAAGCTGCTCACAGATTCCCGGTTGCCAGAAGAGGAACACGAGTTCTTTCAGATCTTAAACCTTTTCTTCCCAGCCATTTACGATGTCAAATATCTTATGAAGAGCTGCAAAAACCTCAAGGTATGAAAAATACAGTAACCTATGTTGTACAGATGTTATCTACTGTTATTGTAAAAAAAAAAAAAAAAAAGATGATTTTTGCTGTGTTTAGGGTGGACTTCAGGAGGTGGCGGACCAGCTGGAGCTAAAAAGGATCGGCAGGCAGCATCAGGCTGGCTCAGACTCGTTGCTCACTGGAATGGCTTTCTTCCGCATGAAAGAGGTTAATATTGACTAAATGAGACCATAGGTGAATAATGGGATTTTAGCTGATCAGTCCTAACATTTATTCCGTTGTCCTGTTTATTTTTTTTCTTTAGTTGTTTTTTGAAGACAACATTGACGATGCCAAGTACTGTGGGCGGCTCTATGGCCTGGGATCAGGTTCCTCTCAAAGTCAGAATGGAATCTCTAACTCCTCGCAGGAGGAAACCAACAACAAGCACTGACCAAAATCTAGTAGATGATGCACTCGTTTTAATCCCACCCAGCAGATGTTGTTCTTTCCTGTTCTTCACAAAGATGATTTCAAATGATTCATGCATTCTTAAAGGGACATTGGGAAATGCAAACAAGCTAATCTCAGATTCTGTTCTGCTTTGTAGTCCATCACATTGCAACGTTCCAGGACTCCAGATGTGATCGTATTTCACCCATCAGCTGAAAATTGAAAATTTTATCTGGTTTTACAGTATTAAAAACACCATTGTTTTAAGCATGGGACCAGCGCTTGTATATCATACGGCTTACAAGACTCAAGGCATTTTAATATGCTCAGTCCTTTTTAGAAATGTTTTCATATTTTCTAGAAAGGCTCAAGATTTATTCATTACTGAGATAAGAGGAAATGCCCTCTCACTGTTGGTACACATGACTGTGGGGTTGTTTTTAAAATATGCCAGCATGTATATTAAAATCAAAACTTCCAAAAGAAACTGCTATCTTTAAGCATTTTTTCTGTAAGGAATATATTTTAGATTCAGGTTTGGGGCATCTTTGGGAATTGAGTCCACTGGTCCTATGTAAGTTTTAAATTTGTTCGTCTCACAATCTTGACTGTTTGTGGTACATGTTTTTATTGTGTGTTGTTCCGAGGCAGTTATGTATTAAAATGTTTTCTATCGCCACAATGGTCTCATGTCTACTTACAAGGCATGTGTTCTGAAAAAATGACCCTTTGTAACAGCTTGACAAGTTGACATGAAATAGAAGTTTACCGTCCTAACCATTTTTTTGTGAATGATTCATCCATGCAAGTTCTTTTGAGCTCATACATTTTAATGAAACTTCCAGTGAAATGACAGACTTCTCTCTTGTGACATATGTCAGACTTCTCAAATCATTGTCTAAACTTCACCCCTTTCTTACCAAGAACTAAGCTTACATTCAGACCAAAACCCCCCCAACCCCTCTTTTTTGATAATCTTTTTTCATTAAGATGTACACCACAATACGGAGAAAAAAAGATCTGTTGCTCCTTGTTTTATCATGACCTTACGCAAAAACTACAATGTGCAATTTTTGGATCTTAATATTAAAATATATTTAAAATAGCAGGGTGTTTAGGACTGGGGTTTGCATGTTGATGAAAAGACCATAATTACAAAAGTGTAATAAAAAATAATCAAAATAAAACAAAAAATGATTAAATAAAGATTAAATATTTTACATTTACCACTTGGTAACGTGACAGTTAACCGAGAGAGAACCGTGAACATGCAAACGTATTATTGAGATATTAATTTAAAACCTTGTGGTTCTTTGGGTACTTCATTTTAGGTCAAAGAGGTTTGGCTGACAAAATAACATTTGGTAATCCCAGAATTACAGGAATGATTGCTTCAGTAACAACAGTAAATTGTGGGGGATTTTTATTACATTATTAGTCGAAGTGAATTTTACATATCAAACAACAATAACTGCATATCAAAAATGCTAAGTACTATAGGTGTTATTGTGTCAGTCTCTTCCAGGCTTTACAGAGCAATTCTGTAGTTCCATATTTGCACAACAAAGTTGTTGCTTTGGAGTGGATGTGAGGTGGAAATGGAGTAAAGTGTTTTTCCATGTGCAGAAGGACGATACAACATTCCATGACGTCCGGAAATGGGTATTTCTAAAACAGGGTGGAAAAATGTAATCTATGAATATAATACATCTCATGTGCAATTAAATATTGATAAAAAAAACACTTAGAGCTGCTGTATGGAATTTTTTTTTTTTTTTTATAAAACCATATTACAAAAAATATTTTTTATGAAATTTTTTTTCTTTATTTTGACAATACATGCAGCCTTAAAATATTATGCATGTTAAAATGTTTAATTTAAGAAAACAGACAGAGCTACTTACATTGACAAGCTCAGGAATGGCAGCAAGCGCTTTGTGGTGTTCAGCAACCCGGGCAGTCAGTGTAGAGAGAGATTCACTGAAAAGCGAGAGACAAAAATTATTTATATTATTAATAATCTCTCTTTTTGAGAGACAAAAAAGGAGCTGTTAGAGATTTCTTTGAAGCACCTGAATCAAAGCACAAACAATTCAATAGGTACAGCCTTAGAAATACCTTTTCCCACTCAAAGATCCTCCCTGATCCTCTGAAGTTTCAGATTGAGAAGTACTAAGTGCTTGTGGGCTCGCATGCGAGTCTTTACACGGGTTGTGCTGCTGGATCAGACTAGTCACTCTCCTCTGAATCTCTGCTATGGCTCTCTGGGTGGCCTGAAGATTGGCGTGAGGTTCAGAGAGAAGAACCTTCCAGAAGCCCTCAGAGAAAATGACATCAGATTGAGCTTCTCCGTTACAGTTTGCTTCAACTTCACTGTGGTTCTTCTCTGTTAAACGGTGACCATTGCTGATGGTGTTATTGGTCAAAGCTGATGTTTCAGCACTGTAGTTCCACCATTTCTTATACATAAGCTGATAACAGACTAAAGCCTCCACACTCTGAGAAATTACCAAGCTTCTTTCATCAGTTGAGTCTAGTTTCTGTTTGTAGAATGTCACAGTCTCCAAACCTGCATTAAAAGAAAAATTACAAAAAGGATTTGAACTAGGAGTGGGCAATATGACCAAAATCTTGTATCACGATACGAGTAATATTATTTCACGGTAACGATATAGATCATGATATATTTATTTTTGCTTTAAGTAAGGTTTTTATGATATCAACATTTTTGATACCAATGAAATTTTATAATTCTCATAATCTCAATATCACAAAAAAAAAAGAATACTAGCCTAACAAAAGTAAAAAAAATCTGTCAAACTCAAGACAAGTAAATAGTCAGTGATAAAAAAAAACTACAATAGAACAAAGACACAAATGAAATAGACCTACATGCAAGCACTAGAAATAAGAAATACTACTTAAATTGTATGCTATGCTGCAGTCTTCACTGTGTAAACGTGCCCATCCCTGATTTGAACCGTTCACTTTAAAGCTCATTTGGAGTGAATTGATTTTGTTGTACAGTGTGGATGCGGTGTATCTCTAACCACAATCATATTGACATCTCTAACCTTGTGTTACAAGCAGCTGGCACATCTCCGCCATTAGTGTGAAGTGTCCTGCCTCATAACCTCGAGTCAGAGCTTGCAGTAGCTCCTCTAGAACTGATGGCCAATCACACAGCAGCTGACTCAAAGCACACAGCGTCACGTCCAATGAGATGTGAAATAAGAGCTGAGGAATAAAAGATAGATGAAAGATTGGTGAATTTCATGATGACATCAAAGAGATATCTAACATTATTATTATTATTTTTTTAAAATCGGTATCGTCTCTGAAAAACTCATTCTGGTCAAAAATGATCTAGAGACAATGGTGGACATTATAATAGATAACTGAATGGCTGATGTAATGCTAACATATAACTATAATAGTACAACATAGTATAATAGTAAATGGTGCTGGATTTCATTTTATTTTGATGGTCCACTTTGCACATTCTGTTGACTATAAGTAACGTTAGACCTACATATCTACGAGCTCTCAGAGTGTTAGTAGAGTATTAGTAGACTGGTAGGGTTAGGGTTAGAATATGTTGACATGTACTTGCTAAGATACTTATAGTCAGTAGAATGTCTGTTGGGCGACCATCAAAATAAAGAGTTAGCAGATATTAAGCAAACAGTCTAGTGATACTCTATGTGTCAACTAACTCTCATTAGACACAACATCATTTATAGTCAACAGAATGTTCAAAGGGGACCATCAGAATAAAGTGTTACCCTGTATTCTTTTTGAAACTTGTTTTACACAATGAACATTAAAACATTAAAAAATACAAATAGAATAATGATATATTTAAAATTATACAATAGTTATACATTATATATGGGGTTATTAAAACATTTTTTGTATTAAAATATTGTAAAGATGTTGCTCAGTCCAATATTATCATCAACATTTGTGTAATTCATTAAATAGAATATAATGTTATATAATTAAAAATATTTTAATATACAGATGTTCAATATTAACCATTTGGTCAAATTCATTAAATAAAATATTTTAAAATATTTTTAATTGTATTATTCTGCATTGTATCATACTGATATTAATCTGTTCAATATTATCATCCATTTTTGTCTGTTTAATTCATTAAACATATTATTTTGTATATTATAACATATTTTAGATTTAGACAGAAAAGTGTATCTGTTGGCATCTTATTTTCACACATACATGCTTCAGAGGAACACTAGTGGTGGCAGGAGGATTCTAACTAACTCTCATTAGACACAACATCATTTATAGTCAACAGAATGTTCAAAGGGGACCATCAGAATAAAGTGTTACCCTGTATTCTTTTTGAAACTTGTTTTACACAATGAACATTAAAACATTAAAAAATACAAATAGAATAATGATATATTTAAAATTATACAATAGTTATACATTATATATGGGGTTATTAAAACATTTTTTGTATTAAAATATTGTAAAGATGTTGCTCAGTCCAATATTATCATCATTTGTGTAATTCATTAAATAGAATATAATGTTATATAATTAAAAATATTTTAATATACAGATGTTCAATATTAACCATTTGGTCAAATTCATTAAATAAAATATTTTAAAATATTTTTAATTGTATTATTCTGCATTGTATCATACTGATATTAATCTGTTCAATATTATCATCCATTTTTGTCTGTGTAATATAATAAAAAATATATATTATATTATATTACATACAGACATTGCTACATTCAATATTATCATCCATTTTTGTCTGTTTAATTCATTAAACATTATTTTGTATATTATATCATATTTTAGATTTAGACAGAAAAGTGTATCTGTTGGCATCTTATTTTCACACATACATGCTTCAGAGGAACACTAGTGGTGGCAGGAGGATTCTCAACAGTTCTCAGCTGTTGATGGAGCATTTTCACTTGGACCAGGTCAGTGGCTGCCACTCCAAACTCGCTCTGCCACACTCTGTGCACCATGGAAAGGAAGTTCTCCTCACAGGACTTAGACCAGGTGTGTGAAGAAGCCACACTCCAGGTGACCACATCTGTATCTGCCAGTCTTTGAGTGAGGATCTCATTAACACTGAACACCAGCCTGTGACCCTGTGAAGAGCAGGAGAGAAAGATGCTTTATAAGATGTATTTTCTTATATAAAAACGTATTAGTGGCAATAAAAAAACAAATATGATAAAAGTAACACTTTTATTGCATAATACAAAACAGACTAGTGTCAAGAGCAAAACCTACTAAAGGAAAACACTTCCAAATATTTTTTTTTCACTTATAAAACCTGCATAATATTCATATCAGTGTCAATTTAGCATACTAATTTATTGAATATACATGTATATCTAATAACAAACAGCGAAGACATCTGAAAACATACTAAAAGTGAGTCTTGTGTCCTCAGGACTTCCTGTGCTGCGGCCCAGTCCTGGAAAAGCATCAAGTCTTTGGCGCACCTCAGAGAGAGAGAATGTGCAAGCTCACTTTCTCCTGATATCTGCGCCAGATTAGCCGCAGTCCTTAACGATATCACATCCCCCTTCTTTGCAATCACTTTAGCTGCATCAAAGTTCGAGTCTGCGGCAAGGTAACTGACAGGTGAAGAAAGAAAATACTCCTTTAGTCAGTTTAAGTAGTTTTTAATTACATTACTTAATTTTATATCACACATTCACTCCCTGGGGAGCAATGAGATTTACTGCGGTCAACTGTAACTTTCTATTAAAAAAACAGGAAGGGGGCAAAAACCTTTTCACGGCACTGTACGTCTCTACATCTATGTCTGTTTTGCTTCTTTTTTTCTGTTAGTTTATGTGACTGTGCAGGGCACATGAAGACCAACACTGGAGTAACCCTGTTGATATCCTTGATCCAGCTATATTTTTCACCAGTTTTTCCTTTTTCTATCATTATTTACTCAGTGATTTTTTTATTTTTTATTGTAACCTTGTATTTGAGGATCATCTAATGCAGTGCGTTTTGAACTTTCTGGACTGTATACAACAATTACATTTTATACAAATAATATTATGATCTAGTAAATGTTGCTCAGCATCTTACACGCATACTTCCACGTGTGTTTTTATACCTTCACATTGTTTTCACTCACCATTTTGCTGCAGTAGCATAATGGCCATCCTTTTCAAGCACTGCAGCCCAGCTCATGAAGAGATTTTTCAGCACAGGGTCCTCCGGCTGGAGTCTGGCACTTGCTAAAGCTATGGCCTCCCTGAGGATTTCATGTAAACAGAAACGTTACCTTCTGCTCAGGCCAAACACCACTGACATAACACACAATTGCCTATTGTGATGTTTCTAACCGGTAGAACTGGTGGTTCTTCAAAAGGTTGATGGCCTCATAGAGTTTATGGATGGAGACAAGATGTGATGCTGCTTTGAGGAACTGCTCGTGGTGGCAGAGCTGCTTCACATACGCCTCTACAGTCCTGGCCCACACTTGATAGCCAGCTGAGAGAAAGTCAGTGACAAATAGGGAAAGATAAAAAGGAGAAATCTTAAAAAAAAAAAATCTTTAAATGCATTTGCCACTTTTATGGAAATGTAACATTTGCATTTATAATTTATTGAAAATATTTATACCAATTTTTAACCAAAAGTCTGAAGTTTTGATGACTTGAAAAATGACTTGAAAATGTGTGTACAAATCATTATGTGTAATTAACAAAACAAAAACAAAAAACCTTGCCATACATGTCAAAAATAGTTTTTATGACTATGATTTTCATGTCACATGAAAACAACATTGCTTCCTGTAAGTTTGTTACACCACAATGGCTGGCTAATATTTTTTAAACAAAACTGCTTCACTACC